TCCCTTGAAGTTTTAAAAATCTTAGGAATGATTAAGTAACCCAAACTGATCAAAACTGATGCCTTGATCAATTTATTGCAACGTGATTGTGCATGATGTCTTCTGGTAAATGCCCTGTACCGGATTATTATAAAGCAAAGCTCTTGGAGTCACCAGCAATTTGCCGATGGTTGGTTTATGATTTACTAGGTTTGCAGACACGAGACATGGGTTAAGTGAGGTTCTTCTAATGGACTGAAAATATAAACTCTCACACATGTAGAAGGAAATGGAATTGTGGTTGCAATAAGAATCAGAGCGTTGAATTTCTTCAACCACAATACTGCAGAAAAAAATGCGTTTAAAACTTCATATAAAAGTTATCAAATATGGAGACCTGTGGATTTAAAAATACAATCCAGGCTCACTTCACTGGAAAGTGACATTTCTGATGTACAATATTGCTGTTACGTGAAAACAAGGAGCCGAAGAGATCGGATGAAACTTTGGTAGTCAGCCTAACACGCTAAGTCATCTGCACTAGAGCCACCTCCACCTGCGAGCGCTATGGTTTACAAACACCGATCAGTAACCTGCAGCAGGCTCTGTGCTGGTCCACATTTGCAAACCAAAGACTTCCTTTCCTGCGCCCCTCACCTCGACCAGCGCGCAAACCCCCAAGTGTAGCAGTACCTATTGCAACACTGCTGCTCGCTTCCCGTCCCGTCCAGCTGCCTAAAGTGCTTCGGGGGCCGCTGCGCACTAGAACACTGCTCCAAGATGGCTGCTTACACGAGACAATCCCGCAGAGCATCAGATGCCGAGTCAGGGCAAAGGTAAGGTCTAACCTTTCAAGACAATGAGGAGCACCAGGATTTTTTTTTTTTTTTTCCCTTGAAATGTGAAACTGCATGTTCCGGCAGGGAAGGAAGTGAAGGCATCGCTCCTCGCCACCGCGGTCGCTTCCTTCTCTCTTGTGGTCGGCTGGTTCGGATGATCGAGGCTCCTGCTGCATTTTTTTAGATCTGGGCGATTACAGCCACTAGGATGATATGGAGCAAAGTACAGTGTTCAAACGTGACTGGTAGGTAAATGACCGTTTGTCATTGTTTTGTTAAAAAATTTTCTTATAAAGTTAACAAACCAAGGCTGTTGATCCCTGAATTAGAAAGTTGATTTGCTTGATTATTTTCCAAAGTGTGAGGCGGGAAGGAGGAGGGGAAAAGCCTCTAGTGCTTGTGTATGTTGCTGATCCTCGAGT